TTGGCGAGCGGCAGGTCGCAAGGGCCCGCCCTGGCAAAGCGTGGGTCGCGCCGCGCTATGGCCGCGATCACGCGGTTGGCGTAGGTACGGCGGTAGCCCTTCTCGAACGGCGCGTTGATGTAGCCCCGCACAGCGCAGTCAATCCGCGTCGGATCGGCGATGATCCTGCGGCGTTGCCCGGCCCAGGAGTCGAACCCCGTCAGCATGCTGGTGCACGCCTGGCGGCCCGCGGCCGTCCTCGCTGACGCGGCGCTCAGCGCCGGCACCCTGTCGGCGGCTCGATCAGCCTTGCCCCGCCCCGTGGCGCGGGCTGCGCGCTCGAGCCCGGGCGGCCCGCGAACGGCGCCCGGAGCACCAGCGAGCCCGCCGCCGGCGACGAGGGCCGACGGGCCGAGCGCCCCAGCGTCGGCGACGACGCCTGCACGCCCAGGGCCGCGGCAGGCCGCTTGCGCGGATAGCCCCGGAGGAGCGCCGATGCCATGTCCATCTGGCTCGCGCCTGCGATCAAGAGGAGGGCCATCAGCAACAGGTGGAATTGAAAGATATGGGGAACGTTTGGGCCGCGAAGAGGCCGACGGCAAGTGGCAGGGTTGACCCCCAAGAAACCATGGTGCTCACCACACTCCAAGACGGGCCTCGATGCGGGCTCTCCAGCCCCCCCCCGGCGCGGTGCTTGTCGGGGCCCATGGGGTACCTCCCGCGCGTGTAGTCGCGCCCCCCGTCCTCGCGGTGCATGATGCTCACCTCCACCTCCTCCCTGTGCAACGGGTACTTTATGACGTCGTAAGCGCGCAGCGTCTGCCAGGGGGTCCTCAAGGGGCTCGTTGTCGGAGGACTTCGCAGGGCCTTCCTTCAATACAAGTGCAGACGGCAGGCTAGGACCCCCTCGGCCCCGCGACGAGCCATCTGCCACATTATACTCGGACGTTATCCACCGAATACAAAACGAACTCCCAGTAGCTAAGGAAAGAGCCCCAATGCGACGCATGATCCCCAACATAGCGCGGCCGCGGGATCGCATCCTCGACGCAGCCGAGACCGAAGACAACGAGTCACCCAAGACGAGCAACCGCTTCCCATGGCCCCGAGCAGCCCGCAGGGCACGACGAACGCGGTAGAGAAAGGCACGAGCCTCAAGGGCAGGCACCCCTTCCAAAACGATCCCGTCTCCGACGACCTGCGGTAGTCCACTGCACAGTTTCCAAGCATGTCTTGGGTGCTTCAGGGAACGCAAGCAAATCCCTCTGCACTGGCGGGCCGACGGCACGTTGGTCGCCTGACTGACAGGCGGGATCGCGCAAGTCCGCGCCGACCCCCAGGCCGCAGGCTGCGGCGCCGTCGGCGAACAACTCGGCGGCGCGGGCGCGGCGACGAGGAGGCAAGCGCTCAGCCCTGCCACGGCGCCACCTCTCACTATAGCGACCAAACTCCCGAACAGCGCCCACCTTCCAGTCAGCAGCGCAGGCGCCCAACCCCGAGAGGGAAGCGTCAACGCAGCCGACGGAGGGCGACCACTGAGCCTGGAGGTCGCGCCAGAGCAGAGGGGCGACGCCATCCCGGGTCATGAGCTCCTGCCTATCCTGGGGCCAGAGGGGCGCCTCCTGGCGGTAGCACCTCTGAATGAAGCAGAAGCAAGACACGAGGATGCTGAGACCCCCCCTCCGCGCTAGCGCCACAAAGATGACGTGCCCCAGCACCCGCTCCAGATCACGGCCACTCGCCCGGCCGCGTCGGAGCAGACCCCGCGCCGCAAGACGGACTCGCCAAAGTCTCGAAGCGGAGGCCGACAGGCGACCCGAGGACGTGAGCGACCATCCCAGTATAGAGTACTCGCCCTCGCTGTCGCCAACGTGATCCTCGCGAGAGACACCGAGACCGCGTCGCTGGAGCTCGGTCATCACCGGGGCAACGGCGCCCCGCACTGCCTCCGCATCGCAGCCAGTGCTCACGAACATGTCGACATACTCCAGGTTGCAGGCGGGCGCCAGCGCGGGCGCAGGGCGGCAATCGCGCAGTCGAGAGGCGCCGTCGCAGCCCGCCGCCTCGGCCGCCCGCCCCATGACCGACTGGCACCACCACGTGGCCCAGGACCAGCCCGTTGGCACGACGCGCAGCCGCGAGAAGAGCACGGTCGAGGCCTCGACGGCGCGGCCTCCGACGTCGCCGACGCCGACCGCACCAGCACGAACGGGCCTGAGGGTAAGAAAGGAGCGGAGCTGCTCCGGATGCTCGAGGCGGCAGATGGCGCCCTTCGGGTCGGCGCCCTCCACGGTGAGCAGGTCATCACTGTCAGTCATCTCGAGAGTGCCAAACGCGTCGCCCGTCGCCAGGCGGACTCCGAGGGGCTCGGTGAACATATCATTCGAACGGCGACAGTCCGCGACCACACGAAGTCGGCCCCCTTCTTCCTGGCGAAAAAGATCTCGGCCCTGACGCCATCGTCCAGGCGGAAACCCACCAGTTGCCGATCAAACAGTAACTGAACAAAACAGGAGCACCTGCGCTAATCTCGCAGAAGAGGGTCGGAATAGGGTACTGTCACTGAGCTACGCAGTAGTCGTGAAGTCGCCTCGCTCGGATCAAGCACACTCCGCAGAACGAACTGTTCGACCTCGGCTCGCCCCCCCCCCCCCCCCCCGCACGTCCGCCAGCGGCACGGGTGCGGAACCGACATCCGGCAGAGAGAGGAGCGCGGGGTCGCAGCTCCCGAGAGGCGACTACTCGACGGCGCAGGCGCCCCCGGCAACGCAAAGCTGCACGAGCGCTTCTGCGGGAGAACGCGCCAAGACACCGCGCAGACTCGTCGACGCGGACGCGACGGGCCCACGCAGCGCGAAGCCAATTCAGGGCGCCCACAGCACAAATCACATCGTTACAGACAGCCCCCCCGCGACACAGCATCCTCCGCGCGCCTCGAGCGAGCCCAATTAGCAGAGTCTTTATCCAGAGGCGCTACGGCGCAAGGATACGGCAGTGGAAAGATGCCCCGGGGCCGACGTCTGCCAAAATCGCGGACATCTCGAGCAGGTGCTGGGCCACGGAGACCAGCGGATTGGAGGGGTTCCGACGCCGTGCTGACCCCCCTCCGAGGACAGCACGGGCGCCAGGCCCACCGATTCTTGCGCCTGGACTCCCGTTCCTCACGGGCCAGGCGCGCGCTCTCGTTCAACTTCGCTTCCTTCTCCACATCGTTGCGGACGTGCTCGGTCAACTCAGGCGAAACCCTCACCGACGAAGTAGACCTCGACACGCCCGAAAAGGCCGCCTGCTCCTCCAGACTCATCTTGCCCCCGACGCATTTGCTCTCGGCGTCCTTGGCCTTGCCCCAATGCGCAAACTCTACCGTCTGGAGCCTCCTAAACTTCATCTCAATGCAGATCAGATGCGTACCATCGAGGAGGTCCTGGCAGGTGGCCGCCTTGATCTGCTGGCACAACTGATAGTGCTCCTGCACCCCCCAGCCGGTGGCGCCGAGCCTACAGGTCTGGCGGAAGTGCTCGCGGTGACCTTCCATGCCGAGGCCCTCCCGCTGCAGGTAGTTCACGCACCACCCAGCGGTCCGTGGCCCAGGCAGCGCCCAGTCCGAGCCGAAATCCTCCTGCCGCGTCATCTTCAGCATCTTGTGCCACGGGACATCACGGCGGCCCTGAGCATCTCGGACGATGGGAAGGATCCTCGCATCCGCGTCGATGGCCTTCCGAAGGAAAGTCTCCAGCGCCGCCGGGGCCACCAACTCCACGAAGAGCCCCTGGCCATCAGGAAGGACATGGATATCACGATCCTGTACCCGCCCAGCCGTCGGGACGTGACCTGGCACCTCGTCGCCAATGCGGTAGCCGCCCTCGCACGCCGCCGCACGCCACACGCCGACGGCGTCGGCAGCGCCGCCCGCAGGCCCCAGCGGCGCCGCGCCGCGCAGGAGGCCCACGGCCGGGCCGGCAGGTGCCACCGGCACCACAGCGCCGCCGCCGCCGGGCACCACCAGCGCGCGCAGGTTGGTGAGCAGCCCGAGGCTGCCGACGGCCATCGCCCGCGCGCGGCACTCCGCGACAGCAGTGTGCTTCGCCTCCAGGGTGAACTGGGCCAGCTCCGCATCGGTCGGCTCCGCCCGAAACCTGTACACTTGGTTCGGCGCGATGCCCGGCGGCGGCGGGTCGAACGCCCCGAAGCGAGCGGCCTGCACGCCCAGTTTGTTGGCCAGCGCCACGATGTACAGGTCACCGTCTGCGGTGTAGATCACAGGATCAGCCTCGGACAAAGCCACCCGGCCCAGATTCAAGCGCTGGTGCCACACCGCCTCGCCGGCGTAGAAGACGTACGCCCACCGTGTCGTCACCGCCGCCATCGCTGTAACCAGCCAAAGCCCGCACACGAGGACGAGCGTCGCGACGAGCGACCGCACTGCAGCAGCCCAGGCACGCTGCCGCCACCAAGAAGCCGACCACCCCGCCGAGCAGCCCCACGACCAGGGCACGCACGTCGGCGCCGACGTCCGAGGCGACCGCAGCGCTTCCGGCAAGGGGACCCCCCTCCGCTGCCGGCGAAGCCGATGGTGGCTCAGGCGCCGCGCAGGCCTCGCAGGCCGGGCAGGCGGGCTCCGGGCAGGGCGGCGGCGCAGGGCACGCCGCCGGGGCGACCTCCGCGCACGGCGGGATCGCGGCGCACTGCAGCGAGCACCCTGGGCAAGGAGCGGGCGCGCCACACGCCAGGAAGCAGGTCGGGCACGGAGGGCAGGATGGCACCTGCGGACACCTGGTGAAGTATGACACCACCCCTGACAACGCGTGGTGATGTGAGCCTCCCCCATATACTCAAGACTTGAGCGACATCAAACGGCGGCGGCTCTCAAGAGATCATCGGAAACCCGTGAAATCGCGACAATTATGATGATGATGATGATGATGATGATGATGATGATGATGATGATGATGATGATGATGAGGAGGAGGAGGAGGAGGAGGAGGAGGAGGAGGAGGAGGAGGAGGATGATGCTGGAGGACGAGAAGGAGAAGGAGAAGGAGGAGGAGGAGGAGGAGGAGGAGGAGAAGGGAGGAGGGCCAAGATCATCGAGGCACGCACGATGTTCGTGCATCGCTGGAAAGGGCCAGAAGGTCAGCAAGAAAATTAGGAAAATGGAGCTTCTCGGCTGCAGCACGGAGTCGTCGGAGTTGCAGGGTGCTTCCCTTATCCTCCTCGGCCTCTCACCCCGTGTTCCTCCTCCTCCTCGTCCTCCCATTTTCTCCTCCGCTGCTCCCCCCTTTTCCTCCGCCTCCTCCTCGTCGTCCTCCTCCTCCTCCGCCTCCTCTTCTTCTTCTTCCTCTTCCTCCTCCTCCTCCTCCTCCTCCTCCTCCTCCTCCTCCTCCTCCTCCTCCTCAACCACCTCCTCCTCCTCCTCCTCCTCCTCCTCCACCTCCACCTCCTCCTCTTTCATAAAGACCCTCACCACGCGCGCTTCGCGACTTCATTAGGCGCAAAGCCGACGGTTCTCTGTCAGCGCGTCAACTGGCAACCTGGGATGCTGATTCGTGCTGGTTAGCTGGGCCCTGCGGGTGGCCGCCGGTCTCGCAGCCTCGCTGAACAGTGGCGGAGGTTGCCAAGGCGAAAGCAAATGGGACCGTAGTTGCCCCGATACGCAACACGCAACACGCAACCCAACACGTAGCGTGTTGACACGGAGCTCAATACGTAGGCTGAAAACGTAGGTCTGGCGCGATACGGTCGCCAGAACGTGGACCAACACGTGCCGAGCCAACACGCAGCGTGTTGACACGGACGCTTTGAACAATGTACGTGTCGCGTTTCAACACGGGCGTATCAGGGTGGTTAAGAGTTGAACATGCTAGCCCCCCTGTGGAACTCGGACACAAAACGGCGGTCGGAGGCGTGGTTTTACTGGTGCCCGCAGCCCAAAACCACCTGCCCAGACCAGCTGGGTGCACGTGGCTTACGCGCGTGCAGGACGCGTGTGAGGTTACCAGTGCCTACAGCGGCGGGTATAACCTTGGAGCGAGCCAGCAGCGGCCGTGACGTGCCCCTCTTCAGCGTACGGAGAACTCCACTTTGCGCTAGTGCCGGCGCCACCGACTGTCAAGGCCGCACCTCCACGTCCCAGCTGACATCGCAAGCGCCGCTGCTCTTGCAATACCCATGCTGCCCAGTGCTGGGGCAGATAGCGCACACTGAGTGTATCAAAAGGCAGAAGGCAAGCGGCGTGGCTGCAACCAGCAACAGTGAACAACACTCATTCACTGGTCCTCTGCCGCCTTCTCATGGCTGTGTCGACTCTGCACGACTTCGCGTTGACTGGTCTGGCCGGCGCGCTCGGCAGGGGGGCCGACGCAGCTGGCCTACCCCGCCAGCGCTGGCCGCCGCTCCGAGCGGCCCTCTGATCGCGGCACGTCTGTCGCTCGCGGGCGCCGCAGCACCTGTTCCGCTGCCCGCGGCCCCTTGTCCTCCTCCAGAGTTGTTACGACCCCGCTGTGACCGTCTCAGCGCTGGCGCAGGGCACCCCTCGCCATCCCAGCAGGACCTGCCGCGCTCGGCCATGGGCTCGGCCGCTGTGGTGCCGCGCATCGAGTCGCCGTTGCTTCCAGGCCGTGCTCCCTGCAGGTGCTGCCTCGTCTGCTCGGCCGGCCGCAGTGCGTCCTGCTCTTCTCTCACTGGTGTGAGCGGCGAACTCGACGGGCCTACTGTCGACACATATAGGAAGGACGCACGATAAGGATGCAAGGGCCTTGGAAGGAAGGCCATGTCGACACTGTGCGAGCGGGGCGCGGCCAGCGAAAGCGGCCAAGGACGGGCCGAAGGGGAAGGATGAAAGGGCAGCCTTGGAAAATTGCTCATCCTTGCTGTGCGGGTTGACTGTAGTCTGCAATCCACCTCCTTGTCGTCCTCCGATCATCGTGGACTCCTCGCTCGGCTCATCCTTCGAACTTGGTCAGCTCGGTGGCGAACCAATTGTCGGGTGCGACGCGCTGCATTTTCGTCGTCGCCGTCCTCATCGCCAGCTGGCGCGTCCGTGCGACCTCCTTCGGGTTGAACGGGAAGACTCGGAGGTCCTCCCAGTGCCCCCTGGCCTGGTGATTGGTGACGGCGATGCCCTTCTGCGCGCGCTCCTGGGCCCTGGGCGGCCCCCGAGAGCGTGAAACTGCAGCGGTCGGGCTGTTGGTCCTTGAGCCGCGCCTCGCCCGATGGTGGCGGCCTCTCTGGTCGGGCGTGCCCCGAGCCCGTGCCGGGCGTGGCGTGCGCGGAGCCTGCGCCGATGCCGCCCGTGGGTGCGCCGCCGGCCTCCATCGGACAACCGAAGCCTGCCAGCGAGGCCCCTGGCGTGGCGATGGCCTCGTGCTGCTATAGCCTGTGCGCCTGGCTCATCTTGCTGGGCGGCAAGTGGTCAAGCCTGGGGGGGGGGGGGTCGGCCTCTCTGCTCCGCGGCGTCTCCGCCGGCCGGGCCACCCTCGGTGTCCCGTCCGCGCTGCCGTGGGGCGGTGGCTTTTCGTCGCCTGGGGGCGCGTGTCCGCGGGTCGCGGCGGTGCGGGGCGGTCTTCTGCCCCCCAGGGGTCGTGCTCGTCGGGAGCGGCCAGGAGGGGGGCGTCCAATAGAGGTGGGCACAAAGCATGGCCGACGGCATGTGCGCGGCCCAGGGGGGGGGGCCAGGGACGCAATGAAGTAAGAAGAGGCGCCATGAACTCTGGGGAAATATCATGGCCCAACCCATGAAATCCACCCCCCTACCTAGTCATCACCCCCCTCTTGGCCGCCCCCGAGCTCGGACGCCCCGAAGCGCTGCCTGGGCCACCCCGGGGAGGTCCGCCTCGCCCTGCCCCGGCGCAAAGGCCACGGTGCCGCCGACGCCCTGGGCGCTCGCCTTCAGGTGCCAGGGGTTGCTGATCGCCGCCATATAAAGTGTTTTGATTCGGCGTTTGGACATTGGGCGGAAGGTGGGGGAGGGAGGGGGGGGGGTTCTGGCTCCGGACCTCTGCTCAGTGCGACTGTTTGACGCAGTGCGTGCTGTGGGGGAGACTCCACCTGCTCGAAACGGGCGCCCAAAACAGCCAAGATCTACTCCACGGGGGAGGGGAGGGGGGGTGCGAGGGCCCGCGACGATCGGCAAAATTGCTGAACAACTCCCAGTACTCCTCCTGCTGTTTATGGTGCTGCCTCTGCTGGTCGCGCCTTGGCTTTGAAGCGTCAGAAGCTGGGTGGCTTCCACCCAGTCTCAGTCGGTGTACTTGCCTCTTGGCCAAGCATGGAATACGGCGGGACTGGCGCCGGATTTTGGATTGGCGTTTCATGTTGTTGTTTTCGGCTAGCTGGCGGTAGCGAACTTTCTTTGTCAGTGCACTCGGCGCGCCGTTCGTCCTCGTGGCATCAGCGTTGTGCGCGTAGACTCGCTGCGTGGGGTTAGGTAAGGATACGTGCCACCGTGACGTGCTTTGTAAAGAGCTCTTGGTCCTTGCCCCCGCCATTGGGGATCGGTTTGTCGCATTGCCGTTGGTATCCTTCCATCCGCGCGTGCGTCTCCTCGGCTTGCGGGGGTTGGCCCGCGCGTCTGGGGGGGCCGTGCCGCCTAGATTATCAACGCCCTCAGGCAACATTCTCTGGATATGGTTGCGCGCTGGGCCAGCCGCGCGGATGGCGAGCGCCGTTTCCCTACAAGGGCTCCCAACTTCGCGCTTCGCGCTGCGCGAGAGCGCGAAGCGCGAACAGCTTCGCGCTCCCGCGCCGCCCCCCCCAAAAGGGAGAAGAGGAGGAAGAGGAGGGGGAGAAGGAACGAGGACCGCGGAGCGCGAAGCGCGAAGAATTTCGCGCCCTCGTGGGAGCCCTGGTGTTGCCCTGGTGTTTCCCTAGTTTCCAGCTGCCGGTGCGGGGGCGCGCGCCACGGGGCGGCCGCCCCGTGCGCGAGAGGCCGGCCTCGGCACGCCTCGGGACCGCCGCAGGGGTGACGTCGCCGTGTTCTCCACAGAGCCGAGCCTAAGCACGACTCGCAGTCTGAGGCCTGAGGGCCTTTCTTGAAGGGACCCCAGGACACACAAATCAATACACACAAATAAAAATACTCCCCCAAGTTTCCCATATGTTTACTGCTTTTGTCTTCCCCCCCACTTGTCAGGCCCCAAGACACACAAGTTCGCCGGCCCAACGGGCCAGAGGCGTGCCAAGATCTCCGGTAACTACTTGACGATAGTTCTAGCTCGCGCGCGCGGGGCGGCCCCTGGGGGGCCCCGGACGGGAAGTACCCCGGCCGATCCCCGGCTGACCCCCGGGCGATCCCCAGGGGGGAGGCTATTTTTCGCCACCCCTCACGAGGATCGTGGCCTCCGAGGGGGGGGCTGCCAACAGGGGAGCCCATACGCCGCCAAGGAGCCCCAAGACGCTCCCAAGAAGCCCCCAAGAAGCCCCCAAGACGGCCCCAAGGGGCCCCAAATAGCGCTCCAGGGCCGGCGGAATGAGCGAAGCGACTAAATTAATACCTACAAATAGAATGATCCCGGCAAAGCAACCTAACAGCGATGTGTAGGAGCATATCTGGAAGCATCCCCCTTAAGATTCAGATGAGAACCCAGTTGTAGAATTCTGCTGTTCTCGCAGTCGTGGTCGCATTCGCGATGACAGTCGCAGTGGCAACGGCAGTCGCAGTCACAGCCTCAGCCTCAGCCTGCTTCAGCCTCAGCCTCAGTCTGCCTCAGCCTCAGCCTGCCTCAGCCTCAGCCTGCTTCAGCCTCAGCCTCAGACTGCCTTCAACCTCGGCCTCAGCCTCAGCCTGCCTCAGCCTCAGCCTGCCTCATCCTCAGCATCAACCTGCCTCAGCATTCAAAATGTGACCCAGGAATGGAGTTCCGGGAACTCGAAGAACACGAAGCGGCCTACAGTTGGCTCCGGGCATTCAAAATCATGCCCAGGAATGAAGTTCTGGGAACTCGAAGACCACGAAGTGGCCTACAGTTGGCTCCGGGCATTGAAAATCATGCCCAGGAATGGAGTTCTGGGAACTCGAAGAACACGAAGCGGCCTACAGTTGGCTCCGGGCATTCAAAATCATGCCCAGGAATGGAGTTCTGGGAACTCGAAGAACACGAAGTGCCCTACAGTTGGCTCCGGGCATTCAAAATCATGCCCAGGAATGGAGTTCTGGGACCTCGAAGACCACGAAGTGTGTAAATGTTTGCTTAAAACGACTTCCGCGGATTCTCCCCGGATCCTGCCCGGACCCCCGTGGGGAGTCATGATGCTCTCCTTTGAGACCACTAGAAACCTATCAGCCTTCGCTGTTAGGTAAATAATCCCCATATTTTCCACATGTTTAGGGTTTTTGTCTTCCCCCCCACTTCCCATATTTTTGCACGTTTTCCTGAGAACCGGCGGTGGATTGTGTCTGTGTGTCTTTTCCCCTCCTGAGTTCTCCTGGCCTCGTCGTTGCTCCCAAGCTTCGAGCTCTGAGTCGCGATCGCAAGGCTTCAGCCTTCTGACGCCAGGCCTCCGAGGCGACCCCGTGAACCGCATCCGCCGCACGGAGTGTGAAGGCTCGCGCCGCCTGGACGTCTCCCCATGGGAGGTCACCTCGGATACGCCCGAAAGTGTGCGCGGAACGTGTCTGGGTGCTTCAGGGCGATCTCCACTTTTACGGGAACAAGCAATGTGAAGGGACCCTGGGACACACAAATAAATACACACAAATAGAAGGATTCCCTACATTTTCCCATATTTTCTCGGTGTCTGTCTTCCCCCCCACTGCCCATAGTTTCCCATATTTTCTGGGGAATGGACGATTCATTGTGTCTGTGTGTTTTTCTCCTCCTGACAATGGCATAAACATGAAAACTCTGAGGTCCGAAGTATGTTTATGCCATGTCTCGTTCCCCTTACCATGACTCCGTGTGTCCTCCTCGTCGTTCGCCGTCGTCGAGCGCGCCCACCGTGCGGCTCTCCCCGTGGCCGCGTGCTGCTGCACGAGGTCCCGCTCAGACCTCCGCCGGCCATCGGCTGTGCTGCCCGCGTCGTCGCATGGCTCGCCCATCTGTCTCCGCAGCCGGGGAAGGGTCTGCTACTCATCTGGCTGTGAACCGACACTTTCGCCCAACTGAGGCCGGGCTGGGGCCGCACTCGCCGCGCAGCGGGGCTGGCCGAGGTGACCGTGGTGAGCGCCCCGCTGCTGCTGCCCTGCTGCAGCTGCGGTTTGTCAGCTGCTCTTCGGGGGCTGGGGGTGCGAGGCAGGGGTTTATCCATATCCACCGCCTGGGAGCCGACGTCCTGGTGCCCCAGCGGGCGGTGGATATGGATATAGTTCAGCCCCTGGGGGCCCGAATATGTCCATATCCACCGCCTGCCGAGGCTCAGAAAACTGACCCTCCAGGCGGAGGTCATAGATAAACTCCCGCCTCGGAGGGGGGCCTTGCCTGTCGGCTGTGGGGAGCGTCATCCGACGGCCTGTCCCCACGACTCCACATCTCTTCACCACGTCCCCTCGGGCGTCCGACACCCCTGCCTTCTCCACGTCCCCGTCCTCCGGGCTGTGGGCGGGCCGAGCGGGCTGTGCGCGCGGTGACATGGCTTGCAGCGCGTGGCGACAAGTCGAGGACATCCGTGCGCAATGGCTGACGGTGGTCGCCCGCCTTCCCCTTCCAGTTGCCGTTCGCCCTCCTCATCCTCCTCCTCCTTATCGTCGTCGTCGTCTTCCTCTTGTTGTTCGCCCGCGCTGTCTTCCCATGTTCTCTTTCCTCTTCCTCCACCGCAGCCCCCTCCTGCTCCTCCTTCTCCTCCTCCTCCTCCTCCTCCTCCTCCCTCCCTCCCTCCCTCCCTTCCTCCTCCCTCCCTCCCTCCCTCCCTCCCTCCCTCCCTCCCTCCCTCCCTCCCTCCCTCCCTCCCTCCCCCCTCCCCCCTCCTCCTCCTCCTCCTCCTCCTCCTCCTCCTCCTCCTCCTCCCCCTCCCTCCCTCCCCCCTCCCATTACTACTGCTTCTCCCCGTCTACTCGTTCTGTCTCTCTTTTTGGTATCATGCCGCCATTTTCTCTCCCTCGCCTTTCCTCCCCCCACATCCTCCTCGTCCCCTCCTCCGTCCTCCTGTTCCCCGCGTTGCGCGGCCCTTCGGCCTGTTGCAGCCAGCCCCTCACATCAGCTCCAGGACACGCAGCTGGGCCTGGAGGGAGAGGAGGGAGGAAGAGGAGGCGAAGGAGGACGGGGAGGAGGGGGAAAAAGGATAATATTCCACATCGGGACAGCCAACAACCAACGGTGCTTCCATGAGATCTGTGACCGCGAACCGCAACAGCAAATCTGCCGCGCAGTGTGCAGCGCAACAGAGGGGGCGCCAGGTCAGCCATAAACACTTCACACAAAAGGAGGAAGAGAAGAGCCAAGGAGGGGCGCACAGCTCGTGCATCCGTACACGAACACCGACATCGACAGGGAGGAGGAGGAGGAGGAGGAGGAGGAGGAGGAGGAGGAGGAGGAAAAGGAGGAGGAGGACGAGATGGAGGAGGAGGAGGAGGAGGAGGAGGAGGAGGACCAGAGTAAACCCACAATGCGTTCAAGATGCCGAGTCGCGCCCGCCCGTCCCAGGCCCCCTCCTCGTGAGCCCCAGACAGGGGGGCCCTGGGGGCCTCTTCCCTCCAGGAGTGGCCCCCTTGAAAGACGAGCCCAAGTCCTACCATGCAGAGGAGAGTCCCGTGATAAGGAAGGGAGAGGACCTCCTCCTCCTCCTCCTCCTCCTCCTCCTCCTCCTCCTTCTCCTCCCCCCGCCCCTCCTCCTCCTCCTCCTCCTCCTCCTCCTCCTCCTCCTCCTCCTCCTCCCCCTCCTCCTCCTCCTCCTCCTCCTCCTCCTCCTCATCCTCCTCCGGGGTCAGAAAGGCAGAACACGTGTCCAGCGAGACCCCCGCTTTGAGAAAGATCGATCCTTGCACTGCTTCTTCAGTTTCTTACGCCCGGTCAGCAAAACCAAGGAGGCCTGAGGACGCACAAATAAATACACACAAATAAAAACATTCCCCATAGTTTCCCATATTATCTAGGTTTTTATATTCCCCCCCACTTCCCCTAGTTTCCCATATTTTCTGGGGAATCGACGATTAATTGTGTCTGTGTGTTTTTCCCTCCTGAAGAACTAAGGAGGCCTGAGGCGAGAGCCTTTTCTGAAAAGGAGCCGCCCTCTATCTGCGTCGCTGCTGCACAGTGTTACCCGTATGGCCCTGACGATGTAGGAAGCCGCACACGCAGAATATCAGCCAGCCTATTTGGGGGCCAACTTCATGGACTAGGCTGCCCCATTCCCTGCAGCAGTTCTGGTTCCCAAGTCTTCTTGTAAGTTTTCTCTTGTCTAGTTCCACGGTTGTGGTTTCGAAGTCCGCTGGAGGGGGGCCCGAAAACCGCCCAATTCCCACCTCAGAACTGCGTGATCTGAATTTCTGGGGGTGTCCTGGGACACGTGCAAATGACTCAGATTCGCGGTCCCGAGACCACAGCCCCTTGCAATTCCCATCGTAATTCAAGCCAGGCCCGCGCTCCACAAGCCACAACCCCCTGTAAATGATTCCAGATTCGCGCTCTCGAGGCCACGACCCCCCCTCTAAGCCACAACAAACTTGCGCGCCCCAGAGGTCACAGCCCCTCCATAAGGTTCTACGTGTCGGCTCCCTCTTTGACTGCGACGAGTTTGCGTCCCCAAAGCATTCTCTCTCACGTACACCAGATTCACTCTCCCCAAGCCAAAACCCCTTGTAAATCACTCGCCGGCCCAGAGGGCCAGAGATGTGTCAAGATCTCCGCGAACAGGATTCGATTCTTAAACTCGGCGCGCGCGTGGCGGCCTCTGGGGGTCCCGGGTCCGAAAAACATCCCGGGCAGACTCTGGGCAGGTCCCAGGCGGCGGTCCTCACGGCTGTAGGAATTCCTGGGGGCGGCGCTTTGCAGGGCCCCCGGGGAGCGCCCCCGGAGCGCCCCGAGGGAAGCCAAGGGAGCTCTTGATAGACAGTCGAGCCAGGATCCATGGGTGGTAGGCTCTACGATGGTGTCCATACACCCCCCCAAAGGTTCAAGATAGCCTCCAAGTGGTCCAATACGGTTCAAGAGGCCTCAAGAAAGCCAGCATGCATGCATGTTCCCGCTCGTCCGTCCTCCGACCGTCCAAGACGGCCCACGCAGCTCCCCAGATTGGCGCGATTCAAGCCAAAACGCCCCCAGGACGGCCACGAGACGACCCAAGAGGGCCCGAAGTCGGCCCAAGAGGCCTCCCAAGAAGCATCCAGACCCCCTACGAGGGTCCGAAGAGGAACCCGAACTGAAATGATGTCAAGCTCTTTCGCGACAGGTGGCCCCCTTCGGAGCCAGAAACCCCAAAGAAGGCCCCAAAAGACCTCCAAGACACCCCAAGAGGCTTCCATGATGGCCCTAGGATGCCTCAAAAGTACCCCAGCAGCAGCCCGCTGTAAGTATTGGGGCACTCCACGGAGGAGTCGACAAAGATCGCTGTCACCACAGGCTCAGATCCTCTACTCATAGACAGCCACCCCCCAAACGGAATGTTCCAAAACGACAGCGGTGCGACAGGATGGGCCAGCGGAGTGGGCGAAGCGATCGCAGATTCGCGCTCCCAAAGCCACACACTCTGTTTCAATCGAACAAGCTGGCGCCTCCGAAGCTACAATCCATCGCACATGAACACGTGTTGGCGCTCCCGAGGCCGCAACCGCTCGCAAGATGCGTCAGGCTCGCGATCCCCGAGCCACAACCCCCAGCGAGCCGCTGAGCCATTCGCAACCCCGAAACCACAACCCCTGCAGCTGACTGCAAGTTTGCCGCAGCCCCCAGCAAATCGCTACAGCTTCGCATTGCCGGGGCCACGAGCCTACCCGAGATCCCCGAGCGCACTTTCCCTCTCCAGAGTGCGACAGCTGTAGTTCTGCATTGGGGTACGTGCTCGGGGAGCGCTTTTCGGCCCACCGGACGACTCCTGAAAATTCGGCTCGGGGCTCGAGACCGCGAATCCTCGTAAATAGCAAGGGGTGTGCGCTCCCAAAGCCTCGAACCCTCGAAAATCAAATTTGAAGCGAGCTCCCGAGGCTACCATCCTTCATTAACCATTGCGCAAGCGCGCGACCAGCCAGCCAGCAAACAGCCTAACCCACTGGCCAATGATCAATTCAGCCAACAAACCAATCAGCCGAGTTGCCAGCCAACCAACCGACAGGAAAACAAACCAACTACCAACCAAGCGTAGCCGTGCAAGCAATATCAGTGGCGGCCGGCGGCACAAGGTGAAGCCCTCAAGGTAATCCGAAGAACTCGCCGTCCCAAAAGGACCCCCGAGATCTCTTACATCCCATTTTCTAGTCCCCTCCTACTCCCCCCCCCTGCTCCTCCTCCTCCCCTCCTCCTCCTCCTCCTCCTCCTCCTCCTCCTCCTCCTCCTCCTCCTCCTCCTCCTGGTCCTCCTCCTCCTCCTCCTCATTTTCCTCCGCCTCCCTCCACCGCCCGCCGCATACCCCGAGCCTGTGGCAGGGTCATCAGCTCGTCGTCGTTCGTCGCGGTCGTCGTCGTCGTCGTCGTCGTGGTCGTCGTCGTCGTCGTCGTCGTCGTCGACCTTCTGGGTCGGCGGCGCCGACCGCAAGGCATTCACAATAAGGCATCCGTCACTCGGACCCCCAAGGAAATGCAATACCCTCTTCTACATGCCTCCCAGAGCTAGCAGACGCGGTAGAAAAGGCCTTTGGGCCTGAATGCACCATATGTGTGTTGAGGGGTGAAAAGAGAGGGGAACGAGGATGAGGAAAGGAAACACACAACAGAAGCATAAACCTTCGGAGGTCCGTGCGGATCTTTTTGGATCGGTGCTAGACCCCCCCCCCCTCCCGCGCCAGGGGCGGCGCCAGAGGCGTCGCCAGGAGGTCCCATCGCAGATCCAAGAAAGCTGCACGGAATGTCTACAGCCTACGTTTACGCAGTTTCTCCTCGCTCGAGTGGTGCAGAGGTGAGAGGGGAGGGGGGTGCAGTGGTGCAGAGGTGAGAGGGGAGAGGGGAGGGAGGTACATTCTACGTTTACGTCGTTTCTCCTCGCTCGAGTGGTGCACGGGTGAGAGGGGAGGGGGGTGTGGGCCATGGCCTGCTTCGACAGCAGCACCTGGCCGTGATGGAGGCCGTCCATCCACAGCAGCTTCAGCTTCGACCCGCGGGCGCCCTGCTGGTGCTCCTCGGGAGGAGGAGGAGGAGGAGGAGGGGGAGGGGGAGGGGGAGGAGAGGGAGGAGGAGGGGGAGGGGGAGGGGGAGGGGCAGGAGGAGGAGGAGGAGGAGGAGGAGGAGGAGGAGGAAGGTGGCCCCAGAGCATCGATCCTTCTGCTGCTCGATCCTCGATCCCTATCCCGCTCGTCATTCTCGATCCTCCGATCTCCCCGTCGACCCTCGATGCGATAGGTAGCCGACAGATCGGCGATAGGACCCAGATAGCGAATCCGCACGATTCTGGGCAGGAGGAAGCCTTTCACGGTAAAGCCCGTAGCAAGGAAGCACGACCCTTGGTCGTCCAGGTTCGGACGATTGCAACGGCGCCAGGTCAGCAGTTTTAGACTCTAGGCCCTAGAGCCTAAAGGATATGCCGAAGAGCCGAGAGTGCACAAATAAACTCGGTGAGGTTCTGGGGGGCAACAACTGGTACAAACATGAAAGTTCAGAGGTCAGCGCAGTCCTCCGATAAGTTATGTTTACAGTGGGTGCCCGACCATAAGAAACCTGCCACAAGAAACACAACCCTGAGACCCCAGGGCGTCCATCTGGTTTCTGGTGTGGGAAGGCCGCGCTTTCCACGGCAAAACCATCGAAACCCAAGAAACCCAGGGCACCCTGGATGCAAGCAGGGGTGTTTCTTGGCAGTGGCCTCGACTGTAAATGTCGCACCGTCGCTGTGGACGTTGGCCTGCAGAGGTGGCCGGCCCTGGGCCCACACGGCCAGCTGTGGAGACCGCGTTGGCCTTTCCTGAGAAAGTCCTCGGCAACGAACAGCACAACGGAAGCACAACGAACAACAAAACAAAAACAAGGCGAGGGCCAATACCTGGCTAAGCATCGTCGTGGTCGGTCCCTGCCTTTTTCTCGGGGGTCAAGCATTGCCTCAGGCTCAGGTTGCTCCCATCGTACTGAAGGCCGCATCCCAGAAAGAATTTCGAGCACCCAGGAGAGCGTCGAAACAGGGTCGAGCGAGTAACGCCTCTCAGGGCCCGACACGTGAAAACCCTCAGGGGGCGATACTGTCGTGGTGCTCGGAATTCTTTCTGGTGGTCAAAGCTGAAATAGCTTGGACCATCTACTCCAGATTTCGTAATAAAAGGGAGGGGGTCTGGACCCTCCAAGACAAGCCATTTCAGACCTCCCCCGTGGGAGAACCCTCCAAAACATCGTCCCCAGACACCCCAGGCCCTCCAAGATAGCCTGGAAGAGACCCCCCCCCGAAATGAGACTCCCCTCCCTTTATTACGAAATCTGGACTAACCTCAGGCCAGCCTCCGCTCGAACTTCTGCCGGCCAAGCGACTCTTGCCCTGCCCCCGCTTGCTTCCGAAGGGTCTCCCGCTGGCCTGTGCCCCGGGCTGTGTGGCTGGCTCCTGCTGTGTTAGCGTGGACGCTTCTCTCTGCCACAAAGCCTATCGTCAAATCGGAGGTTGGGGGGGTGAGACCCAGGTGACACGGAAATCCCACTTTTTCTGGGAAATCGGCATCGGTCTGGGCTTCGTACTCGTGTCGTGCGCGCGAGGCGAAGCTGCGGTCATCGTCAGCTGGACCCTCCCCCCACACACAACCTCCGCATCACTCGGAGGGTGGTCGTATGGGGCTTGAGCGACATCCGCTATTTTTGTTTTGTGGCAAGCTTCCCTCGTCGAGTCGCCAATGAGCTGACACACAACAATCAACGTAATCTGAAGCGTTTGGACTGCGTTTGCTGGAAACTGACACCTACGCCGCTCACGAACTCAAGCGCGGTGCCAAGGGCAATTCACTCTGCCTGGAATGCGGATCTTGCCGTGGAGAGAAAAACCCCGTGGTGCCCGATGCGCTCCACGGAGGAGAGATCAAGACTGGTCTGGGTGCGGGCCTCCAGCGACCTACCCACCGTGAGCGCCCGCGCTGGCGCCGCCGCCGCGCCGACGCGGCGCGGACCTGCTGTGTAAATCCGTCGACTCCTCGAGGGCGAGGCCTTCGGTGTTTTTTACACGAAAACGGGGCGACTACGTTTCGCTCTCAAAATCGACGTTCTGTTACGTTATCGGCGCGGTTCTGTCACGTTCTCAAGTCCCGGATCGGTTCGTTGCCCACCTGCTCGTCCTTCCGTTTCGAATATGCTTTGAGGCATCACAATGCCACCTGTCCGACGTCCACATTCTAGGGAGTCGTTTTGAAGAACGCGTTGGCCGAAGAACGAACAACAAAAACGCCCCCAGCGTTTCAAAGAACAGTTGAAGCAAGCGTTCTTGCAATGCAGGATGACGATTAATAAGAAAAATGGGAGAGAACGATAAAAAAGTTTCTGTTATTTCTGCACAAGCTTCTGACTGGAGGAGAACGATAAAAAATAGTTTTCCAGCCCACGGCCGGTTTTTTCTAATCGTCATCCCGGGCGCCGCCGCGTGAACACGACCCCCGGTCCTTTACTAATCGTCATCCTCCATTATTCAGGGTTTCGACATTTGGCCGAAAGGTAGGGGAGGGAGGGGGATGTGTGGGCCTGGGATGGTGCTTAGTCGATCTGCTCTCACCCGTCGCGCAAGCAGACTGGGGGACCAGCCAGTCTCTGGCCTGCGAGGGGGGAAAGGGGTACGAAGGGGCCCACAAACACACAAATAAATACACACAAATCAAAATATTCCCTATATTTTCCTATGTTTTCTGAGTTTGTGTCTTCCCCACCACTTCCCATTGTTTCCCAAATTTTCCTGGGGATCGACGATTAATTGTGTCTGTGAGTTTCCTCCCCCCTAAAGGTAGGAGAACGAAAAATGGCATAAACATAGAAACTCGGAGGTCCGCGCGGATGTCTCGGATCGGCGCTGGACCCCCCTCCCTGGCGCGCGGAGCGCGCCAGGGCCGGCGCCAGAGGACCTTTGAGTTTTCAGGTTTGTGAAATTGTTCGCTCCCCTAGATGGGGGCGGGGGGAATGTTGAATTGTCAAGCCCCTCAAAACTGACCTTTGGCTTCAGGAAAACTCTGGCTCGGGCTGGGGCACGGCAGACACTGCTACACCTCCCACTTCGCCATGTCGCCTGTCGGCAGCCATGCTACTGCTTGCAACGCCTGAAAAGGAAGGGAAGGAGAAGGAGGAAACGGGGGGAGGGGAGGAAGAAAGGTTTTTTCCACTCAGCGGCATACGGAGGGGGCGGGATACCTCCCGCACATAGTCAGGGGAGAGGAGAATAGTATTCGCATTGCTGTGGAGGGAGGAGGAGGAGGAGGAGGAGGAGGAGAGGAAAGAAGACGATGAGCTGGAGGAGGAGGAGGAGGAGAAAGGGAGAATAAGCAGGGGGATAAAGTGCGGGAGGCATGCACCACGAGTGGATGGATGAGGAGGAAAAAGGACGAAGACTTCTAATAATCATACAAACAATATAAAGATGTGGGTAACCATAGAAACAAAAATAGGATTGATGAAAATAATAAATTAAGACTGCGAATAACAGGGGAAACCACAATATTACGAATAACATGTATCGTACGAGTACTAAGAATACGAAGCCGCATACGAAGCGCAATAAGAATTGTTATAGCATCAATAAGACTGACAAGCATGACAACAAAAACAGAAAACATATTGACAAGAGATCGCGACTCGCATGTCCTCGAGGTATCGCCAGACATCTGGAACGTTGGTGGTGATGTCGTCCCTGCTCGACAGTGCCACCACACAGTCGTCCGGGAGCTCCTCGCGCCACAGCACGTTGTGGTACCAGTAGAAGTGACGCATCAGCACGTTGGCGGCGAAGAGCTCCCAGCGCACGAAGCTCGCAGTCACGCGCATCATCACATTGTGCGGCCTCCTGTACAGAAAATTGAAGGCCACGTCGGGCTGGCACAGGAGGAAGCAGACCGGGTCCAGCAGGACGAGCTTGCTGACCACGTCGGGACGCGCGCGCGCCACCCAGCTGGCGATGCAGGTGCCGTAGGAATGGCCCACGAAGCAGGCACTGGCGTGCCCGTGGGACTCCAGCATGGCCGCGAACGCCGCGGGGGCGCTGTCCGGAGTGAGCGTGACCTTCGCGCCGACCTGCGACACCTCGGGCACCTCCACGACGAAGCATTCCCGCTGCCGGGCCAGCCTCCTGATGAAGGGCAGGTAGGGTAGCAGGCCCACCCCGAGGCCGTGGATGAGGACGACTGGCGGCTTGGAAGGCTGAGGCTCGCCGCCGCGCAAGAGCGGCCCGGACAGCGGCCTGGGCGGCGCGTTGTGGAAGAAAGACACGCCGCCGCCAGTTGCGGCCTGGGCCGGCGGAAGAAAGCCCCAGCAGCAAGAGTGCTCAGGGCCAAACCGGCCCAACAGGGAACAAGCAGCTAGATCCGCCACGGTGCTTGGCGCTCCCAGTGGAATGCCCCAGGGCTCATTCAGCTGTGAGAGGTCCAGGAACTGTGGGCTTCGTACGGGCCCGACCTCCGATTTGCCCGAATTGCTGCGCGCTCCTGGGCGCTCCTGGGGTATGCTACGTGAGCCTCTCAACAAAAAACCTTGTCCGAAGCAGCACATGCCTTTCATGTTCCTCCACCCTCCTCAGTTGGGCACTCATTTTGAATAGAGCACTGTTGCTCCTTCATTCCTCCCTCCCTCCTCCTCCTCGCTCTTCCCCCTCCTCTCTTCTCCATCCCCCGCCGCCGCCTCCCCCTCCTCCTTCTCCTGCTCTTTCTGTTTCCAACTCTCCTCTTTCGTGTTTCCAACTCTCGTGTATCAGATCTAGCTTTCTTCCTCCCGTCACCTCCCCTGCTTCATCCTATGTTTCCTACTACCTTTCCTCCGTGATCTCACCCTCCCTGGACGCTGTCAACTGCACAACTGCCGCCACTTTGTTGTGCCATCGAGAGGCCCATGATAGCGCGGTCCCACACGCAGATCCACACGCGATCTCGCTCGCCCTGGGCGCTGCCCAACTGCACAACTGTAGCCAATTTAGTGAGCTCCTGGGAGCACTGCGCGACTGCCGCCACCTCCGTGAGCACCTGCGTGCTGCAGCGGGGTGCTGTCCCACCCCATGACTACGCACCTTGGGCGGGTTGGGTACAGCCGGACCAAGGAAAGACGAACACCCTTCAAGAACACGAGACCCTCCGCCGGCCAAACTGAAGAACATCCGAGGGCACCCTCCCCCAGGATGCACAAGCACATCCCATGAACACGAAGAGCATCAAGATACCCTCCCCGAACCGATCTCGATCTTGCACCCCCAGTCCGACTGCACGTCCCCAGACGTCCACCGATGTGACGTTTTGAGCCCGCGGGCCCACGGAGGTCCCGCCCGCCTCCCCCGCGAGCACTGCCTTGTACTGGGATCCTTGTCTGTGAGGTCCCGAGGCCCGAGCACGGCCTCCGAGGGCCAAACTGCAGACACGAAACGCTCGGACTGAGAGAAAATCGCAAAAAAATATTCAAACAATCGTCCCCCTGCTATTTCTCACTCTTTTGGAAGATTCCTCCTGTAGAGGGCCAGGCCCGATTTAACCTCGGGGTGGTACCTCCTCCTCCTCCTCCTCCTCCTCCTCCTCCTCCTCCTCCTCCTCCTCGTCCTCGTCCTCGTCCTCCTCCTCCTCCTTCGCCTCCTCCTCCTCCTCCTCCTCCTCCTCCATTCTTTCTCCTTATAGATAACTCCTCCTTGTCGCACCCCGAGGCCAGTTTTTAGGGCGGGCTGGGCGTTTCGCCTAAGATTTTCTCACCAGTTATGACTCTGAAACTTACAAAGTGACCCCAGCTTCACGGATTGACGGCGGGTGTTCTTCAAAATGTGGCTCTCGCCTTAGCGCCGCGCACATTCGGTTCAAAATTCTGCAAAAGTTTAACGGATTGAGGGCGGCTGGTTTGCAAAATGTGGCTCTCGCTTTAGCGCCACGCACATTCGTTATCAAATGTTGAAGAGCTTCACGGATTGAGGGCGGTTCCTTTTCAAAATGTGGCTCTCGCCTCAGCGCCGCGCACATTCGTATCAAAACTCTGCAAAAGTGTAACGAATTGAGGGCGGACGGTTTTCTAAATGTGGCTCTCGCCTCAGCGCCGCGCACAGTCGTATCAAAAAAATGCAAGAGCTTCACGGATTGAGGGCGAGTCGTTTTCAAAATGTGGTTCTCGCCTGAGCGCCGCGCACATTCGCATCAAACAGTTGCAAGAGCTTCACGGATTGAGGGCGGGTCGTTTCCAAAATGTGGCTCTCGCCTGAGCGCCACGCACGTTCGTTTTCAGAATTTGCAAGAGTTTCACGGATTCCCGTGTTAAACGTACCAGACATGGTGTTTTGGAAAGAATCCGGACTATGCGGGTGCAACAAGTACGTTGGTTCGCGGTGTTGAAGTCCCGAAAAATGACGATATGGCACGACTCCGGATCGTCGCGTTGAAATCCCGAGAACAATGTTTTGGCATGCTTCAAGGTCTTCAAACGGGTGTCTTTCAACGAGGCAGTTCCCTCAGTGGAAACGAACCGTTGTGGAGGCTTATGAAGAGGAGGCTTGGGGGGAGGGTTCATTACAACGTCGTTGGTGACTCTTGCGTTTACACTGGTCCTCCTCCTCCTCCTCCTCCTCCTCCTCCTTCCTTTTCCTTCTCCTCATAAACAACTTCTCCCTGTCGCACATCGAGGCCAGCTTTTAGGGCGGGCCGGGCGATTCGCCTGAGACTTCCTCACCACTTATGACCCGGAAGCTTAAACATTGGCAACAGCTTCACAGATAGAGGGCGGGTCGTTTTCAAAATGTGGCTCACCTCAGCGCCGCGCATACTCATTCTCTAAATTTGCAAGAGCTTCACGGATTGAGGGCGGGTCGTTTCCAAAATGTGGCTCTCGCCTAAACGCCGCGCGTATTCGATTCGTTTTTTTTTAATGCAAGAGTTTTGCGGATTGAGTGCGGGTGGTTTGCAAAATATGTCTCTCGCCTTAGCGCCGTGCACATTCGTTGTAAACATTTGCAAGAGTTCACGGATTCAGGGAGGCTTCTGATCAAAATGTGGCTCTCGCCTCAGCGCCGCGCACATTCGGTTCACAACTCTGCAAAAGTGTAACGAATTGAGGGCGGACGGTTTTCAAAATGTGGCTCTCGCCTCAGCGCCGCGCACATTCGTATCAAATATTGCAAAGGTTTCACGGATTGAGGGCGAGTCGTTTTCCAAACGTGGCTCTCGCCTGAACGCCGCGCACATTCGTATCAAAAATTTGCAAGAGCTTCACGGATTGAGGGCGGTTCCTTTTCAGAATGTGGCTCTCGCCTGAGCGCCACGCACATTCGTTTTCAAAAGTTGCAAGAGTTTCACGGATTCCCGTGATCAACGTACCAGACATGGTGTTTTTGGAAGGATCCACGATTTTGTGCGTGCAGCAAATACGTTGGCTCGCGGTGACTGGCGCGTATCAGGATCGTCAAGACGCAACAGTCAGGTTCATCCGTGGCGTTGGAATCCCGAAAACCATCTTTTGGCATGCTTCAGGGTCTTCAAACGGTTGTCTTCGAACGAGGCAGGTCCCTCAGTGAAAATGAACCGTTCTGGGGGCCTATGAAGAGGAGGCTTGGAAGGAGGGTTCATTACAACGTTGTTGCTGACTCTTGGGTTTACACTGCTCCTCCTCCTCCTCCTCCTCCTCCTCCTCCTCCTCCGCTTCCTCCTCCTCCTCCTCCTCCTCCTCCTCCTCCTCCTCCTCCTCCTCCTCCTCCTCCTCCTCATCATCATAAATAACCTCTCCCTGTCGCACCCCAAGGCCAGTTTTTAGGGCGGGCCGGGCGATTCGCCTGAGACTTCCTCACCATACATGACCCGGAAGCTTAAACATGGGCAACTGTTTCACAGGAATGGAGGGCGGGTCGTTTTCAAAATGTGGCTCACCTCAACGCCGCGCATACTCGTTTTCAAGATTTGCAGGAGTTTCACGGATTGCGGGAAGGTGGCCTTCAAAATGTAGCTCTCGCCTCAGCGCCGTGCACAGTCGTCGTAAACATTTGCAAGAATTTCACGGATTGCGGGAAGGTGGCCTTCAACATGTGGCTCTCGCCTTAGCGCCGCGCACATTCGTATCAAACATTTGCAAGAGTTTCACGGATTGAGGGCGGCTTCTTTTCAAAATGTAGCTCTCGTCTTAGCGCCGCGCACATTCTTGATACAGAATTGCAAGAATTTCACGGATTCCCATGGTCTGCGTACCAGATATTATGTTTTGGAAGGATCCACGATTTTGTGGGCGCAACAGTTACGATGATTCGCGGAGTTGAGCTCCCTGGAATGGTGTTCTGGCACGTACCAGGATCGTCAAGACGCAACAGTCAGGTTCATCCGTGGCGTTGGAATCCCGAAAACAATGTTTTGGCATGCTTCAGGGTCTTCAAACGGTTGTCTTCGAAAGAGGCAAGTCCCTCTGTGGAAGTGAACTTTTGTAGGGGCCTATGAAGAGGGAGCTTGGGGGGAGGGTTCATTACAACGTCGTTGGTGACTCTTGGGTTTACACTTGTCCTCCTCCTCCTCCTCCTCCTCCTCCTCCTCCTCCGCCTCCTCCTCCTCCTCATCCTCCTCCTCGCGCCCCAACGGAGACCCCTGCAGGTGGCCCCCGACGGAGACCCAGCAGACCACGCAACGGAGACCCCCGCAGCGGAGACCCCCCCAACGGAGACCCCCCGACTGGAGGCCTCCCAAATGGGGTCAGAGGATCGCGCCGCATCACCGATGCATCGCAGATGCACCGGTGATGCACTGGTGGCGTCGCCGATTCATCGGTGACGTCGGCGTGGAGGAAAGTCGGGCTCCACATCGAACCGCATCTCCGATGCGTCAGCGATGCGGCGCGATCCTCCGACCCCATCTACTCGGTCCCCACCTCGGAGCTCTGGACCAACGGAGGCCCCCCAACGGAGGCCCCCAACCCAGCAGCAGTCAGCATCGAATCGGGAGATCGGGCCAAACATCGGAATGTGAGTCGGATCGGGCCGCCCTGGCACGGAGCCGAAACCGAATGGGACTGGCTGCACTGGGACGCACAACAGCGCCATGTGAGCAGTTGGCCGCGCCGCATCGCTGGGATACCGCAGTCGAATCGGATCGAACCAGCAGAATTAGAATTAGGGCGGGCCTGTCCCCCTACAGCCCGATTTTGGACGAAAAACTTAAAGGATTCCAAAAATACTCAAAGATAGTCAAAAAATACTCGAAGAATCGCCCCCAGACTATTTTCTTACTGTTCTGGAACATTCCCCCTGTAGAGGGACATGCCCGACCTGAGACTAGAAACCGAATCGGATCCAAGGGGGCCCTGCCCCAACCCAGATCTCCGGCGATGTGCTCGGCCCGACACTGGTGTGTTTTTCTTCGCTAGGGGAACAACAAGTGGCATGAACATATAAACTCGTAGAGCTCGGCCCTCGGGGCCCTCCTCGGGCCCCAGGGGCCTGCCACAACGGAGGCGAGGCGAGAAACTACCCTTAAGTCGGGCCTGTCCCCCTAAAGGGTTTTTTCGACGCAAAATAAAAGATACTCAAAAAAATCAAGAGATGCCCAAAAATACACCAAAAATAGTCCCCAGGCTATGTTTTTACTATTTTTGAATTTTCCCCCTGTAGAGGGACAGGCCCGACTTAAAACTACCCCTGGGGGCGCGGTCGTTGCCTCTGGAGCCGCTGACTGAAAAGATCCTACTGCAGGATGTCGGGGAAGGCGCGGTGGCGGAGCGGGCCACGGGCCACTCTGCAAATCTTTGGAAGATTTCTGAGGGGAGCTATACAGCTGCTTTCCGGCCGCGCGCCAGGGGGGAAGCGAGAAGGAGCAGGCCTTCTCAGAAGGCGGCGGGGCTTCTCAGAAGCCCTCGCCTCTTCCGAGAAATGTTCTGTCTCTTCGGGGAAGGCTTTGAAAACTTCCCGGAAGGCCCAAGGCGTTCTGGGCCCTCTGAGAAGGCCCACACCTTCACACTTTCCCCCCAGGCTCGCCGCCGAGTTTTCGCAACCTGGCTTCGGGGCTGCAGTAGGGGAACAAAGAATGACATAAACATAAAACCTCGGAGGTCCGCGCGGACTTCTCGGATCCGCGCTGGACCCCCCCTCCATGGCGCGCGGAGAGCGACAGGGGCGGCGCTGGAGGCGCCGCCAGGGGGCCCCAGCGCGGATCCGAGAACTCCGCGCAGACCTCCGAGTTGTGATGTTCATGTCATTCCTCGTTCCCCTGTGCTGGGGCCCCCCTCCCACGGCCTTGTAGGTGAACCCCAGGAGCCGCATCAGCTGCCGGGTGACGAGATGGAGGGCGCGGATGCCCGCGTAGTAGGCCAGAGGATGGCACCACGCGTGCACCCGGTCGAAGTTGATCCGCATGGGCTTCACGCCCTCGCTGTAGCCTTCTGGGAGGCAGCCCAGCCTCTCCTCCCACCTCATGGGGAATAACAAGCCCCCACACATCCGACGCCTCGATTTGTTCGAGACGCGGGCCCCCGACCTCCCGACCACTTCCCCGGGACCGGTTTCTCATCCCGAATCGTTTTCTGACGGTCCCGAGGCCCGGCGAGGGCCCCGAGAGGCCAAAAAATTAAGACAAACCTCCGCCTCGATTGTTTCGAGACACCCTGCGTCTGGGAACTGCATAAAGATGAATAAACGTACGGAGCTCCGCGCGGATTCGTTGGATCGGCGCTGGACCCCCCCTGGCGCGCTGAGCGCGCCAGGGGCGGTGCCGCAGGTGCCGTCAGGAGCTTCAGCGCAGATCAAAAAAATCCGCGCGGAGCGCCGAAAGTTTGTGTTTACGTTTTTGTTTCTTCTTCGAACCTGGGCATCATGACATCCGTCAGCAGCTTGCTCTCGTCCGCGTCGAGCTCCGCGATCTCCTTGGTGAAGAAGGCCCACGCGGTGAGCTCCTGCAGATTGCCGCGGCGCAGGTGCTCGAACGGGCAGCCCAAGAACCACCCCTCGATAAACCGCTTGTAATCCCGGCCAGCAGCGAGGGCGCAACCAGCGGTGGCCCACTCGTTGCCGACGTCGATGGCCTCCACGCACGGTGGTCCCACCGCTCTGTGTAAGGACTAAACGAATTGCCAAAGCAACAGTTAAGCAGCTAAGCAAGCACCCGTCACGCGCGGGGGGGGGCGCCAGAGGGTGGCTGTGTGGGGGGAGTCTGGTGCTGGCGGAGAAGCCGTCCGCAAACGTCCGAAATCTGTTGATGTTTGGGTTCCTTCCGATGCTTGTTGGCTCCTGTTCCCACCCCTCGTTCTCGCAGACATACGCCGAAAAAGAAGATCGCCCCCCTGGACCTAAACAAATCCAGCAGGGCGGCGACGAGGGCGCTCCTCGGAGGGCCAATCAGGGCGACAAGAACAGCGAGACCCCGAGACCTCGGTCCCCCCTCGACCCTCACCGATCCTCCAGAGGCCTCCCAGATGGAGTCGGAGGATCGCGCCGCATCGCCGATACGTCGGCGGTGCATCGAGGCTACCTCGGCGATGCATCGGCGACGTCGGTGATGCGTCGGCGACGAAAGCGTGGAGAAAGTCGGGCTCCGCATCGACCTGCATCGGCGATGCGGCGCGATCATCCCCCATCTGCTCGGACCACGTCTGGGAGGCCTAGGTCCTCGTCTCCTGGGCCACCCCCCTGGATCGACGCCCTGCATGTCCAGGTAAGCGATCGCCGCCAGGACTGGGCGGAACGACCAACAAAGTAACACCAAGAACTTCCCAAACTCGCCGGCCAAACGGGCCAGAGGGACCCTCGCAGCTCGATCCCAAAGGAATCAGAGACCACGGCCCTCAGAACTCGTCCTCGAGGGCTTTGGCCGGGAAGGCCTTTCACGATTGTCTTTCCCTGGATTGCACTGGCCAGGAGGCGTGCTGCCCCCTCCTCCTCCTCCTCCTCCTCCTCCTCCTCATCTCCTCCTCCTCCTCCTCCTCCTCCTCCTCCTCCTCCTCCTCCTCCTCCGCCCCCGCCTCATCTTTTTCTTCCTCCTCCTCCTCCTCCTCCTCCTCCTCCTCCTCCCCCGCCTCCTCCTCCTCCTCCCCCGCCTCCTCCTCCTCCTCCTCCTCCTTCTCCTCCTCCACCGGCTCGTCCTCCTCCTCCTCCTCCTCCTCCTCCTCCTCCTCCCTCCTCCTCCTCCTCGTCCTCCTCCTCCTCCTCCCCCTCCTCCTCCTCCGCCTCCTCCTCCTCCTCCTCCTCCTCCTCCTCCTCCTCCTCCTCCTCCTCCCTGGATTGCATTGTCCGATAGAGCGGCGGGGCCAGCGCGGGGCCTCCATCGTGCGGTCGAAGAGCTTCAGGCTGCCCTCGGGCGGGGGCAGCCTCTGGCGAAGCGGCTTTGGCCGCTGGATCCGCCGCAGCACCGACCGGAGGTAGACGAGGAAGCACGCCTGTCGCATGCAGCATGGGCGAGCGAGGTAGGAGGGATGATGGTGACGATGGCGACGACTATGAAGAGGAGGATGAGCATGAGGACGAAGATGGTGCATGAACCAGAACAAGAGCATGAGCATGAGCAAGAGCCGAAGCTGATGAAGAATGAACATGACGATGATAGTGACGGCGATGATGGTGAAAACGAGGCTGAACGTAACGATAATAAGCAAGAAGCTGAAGCCGATGAGGATGAGCACGATGATGATGATGATGATGATGATGATGATGATGATGATGATGATGATGATGGTGATGATGATGGTGGTGATGATGGTGGTGATGATGGCGAGGAGGATGATGCTGATGATGATGATGACGACGACGACGATGACGATGACGTTTATGATGACAATGATGACGAGGACGATGACGATGACGTTGATGATGACGATGGTAGTAACGATGACGATACTGATGATGTTGATGCTGACAACGACGATGCTGATGATGAAGATATTGGTGTTACTGCTGCTGCTGTTGTTGTTGCTGCTGCTGTGGTTTGTTGTTGACGATGATTGTGATGATGATGATGATGATGATGATGATGCTGATGATGATGATGATGATGCTGATAATGATGATTATGATGACGAGTAGGATGGCGAAATCGAGGGAAGATGAGGAGACGATGCGAGGCGAGGCGAGGCGAGGCGAGGCGAGGCGAGCGCGCTGATCCGCCGGGGGCGGGGCCCTTTGGGGCCTGCGCGGGGGACCGGAGCCCTCAGTGCAAGTTGTCCTTGATGCTGGAGGTCGATAGGTGCAGGTGGAAGTGGGGAGTCGGAAGCCGGATGCTGGAGTCGGAGTGCCAGATTGGTGGAGGTTGGGTGTCGTTGTTGGCGGTCGACAGGTTGGGGTGGAAGTGGACATCGGATGCTGGATGCTGGATGTCGGAATGCTGAGCTGATTCGGGATGGGGGTCAATAAGCGGAAGAAGTGGTAAGTCGGATGCCAGATGCTGGGGCTCAGGGTATTGAGCTGGCGGAAGCTGGAGGTCGATAGGGAAGACGAGGAGGAGAGGGAGGAGAGGGAGTAGGAGGAGGAGGAGGAGGAGGAGGAGGAGGAGGAGAAGGAGGAGAAGGACGGGGGGGAAAAAGGAGGGGGGAGCAGAAGGAGGGAGGGAGGGGTGGGTGGATGCACTCATTGACTCGGTGCGGACGTGGCTGCACGCCTGCCTCTATGGGTACGCGAGGGCGGATCTCAGAAGTGGTGGGTCTATGAACGCAGCACATATGAAGACCCCTCCTGGACATACACGGGCCCAGCATGGGGGCCCCGCTATCCCCGGCACTCCTGGGAACGATCGAGGGAGCAGCGCTGGGCTAGAAGAGAAGGGACGTCAAGGGCCAAGGAGAAAGAGGGGAGCATAACAAAAAGGTGGGCCACGTCGCCGATCTTGCGCGACAGCTCCAACCTCGTCGGGGGGAGAAGCTTTAGTTGTTACTGCCCGTGTGTACGTGCTGGGAGGAAATGGTGGGAGAATCTTCGGCGAGGGTAGACGGGGTGCGCCGCCAGTGGCCTGGGCCTGTCAGGCCGTCAAGCGGCCATGCTCTCGCTATCGCCGCCCCTTCGCCGCGTCGTCGCCACGCCGCCAAAAAGAAATGCACCGCATAGATTCCGCCGCGTAGATTGCACCACACTGATTGCACAATGGATATGCCAACGCATATGCTGCACAACAAAAGATGCTCACCATAGATGGTGCAACGTAGATTGCACAACATGCGAGCCAGCTTTGACCCCACACATTATTTGTCGTTATCTATGCTGTGCCACCGATGTTGTGCATTCTATGTGGTGCACTCTATGCGGCGCTACTAAGATTGCAGCCTATGTGGTGCATTCTATGCGGTGCATGCACTCTACGTGGTGCAATATATGTGGCACGGATTCCGCACTTGCAAAACCCATGCGGCGGCGATTGTGATGCTTGCCTGGCGTTGGCTGGTGCATCCCTGCGGCCGCGCTAGCGCGCGCAGGCTCGCGCGAAGAGCGGCCAACCACAGTGGCGCGACCGACGCGGCCGCGGCGGCGCTGACCGCTGGGCACTTCGCAGCGCGTTTCGCAAGCCGCGCAAACGTGCGGGCACTTCAATGCGAGTCGGTGATTCGGGCGGGCGCGGTAGAATGGCGACGTCGACAACGGCAAACACGATGATGGTTGCAGCGATGCTAGTGGCGACGATGACGGTGACGACGGCAAAACAAATGACGGCGCCGATGCTGAACAAGCCGATGACGATGATGGTGTCCACGCGTCGGTGATGAGTGTTTTGGACGGGTTTCGACATGCGCGCGCGAACAACGCGCGCGAGTGGCCCGCATGGTACGATTTGACAATGATCGCCTCCCCCCCCCCCCCCAGCACGCGCACACGGGCGCTCGAGTGACTTCGACAAGCGGGCGCGAGAAGCCCGTCTGGTAGCATGTGATGAGAACGTTGAAAACCGATGCGTGCGGTTTTCTTCAGCATTCGCCAGAGCGCGCGCGCAGACCGTTCTTTCGAAAATTGATGTTGCAATACCAACTGTTCGATGCGTTTTCAGGGCACTTTATTGTTAATTCCTTACGGGACCCAAGGTGTTTTAACAATGTCGGCACGCGCGCGCGACGACGCGCGCGTGCCCACTTCGTCACATTATTTGCAAGAGCTCCCTGGCAACGCGCGGTTCTTTATCAACGAATGTGCGCGCATTTGTTTTCCAGAAGATAGCGGTAGCGTGGAGGGGTCAAGCCCGCCCTCGCGGGGATGGCATGACGTCAGACTTAGAATGAACGATGGGGCAGACGCATACGCAAATCGCACATCCCCAAGGCGGGGGGATAATTCCTGGATGGGGGCGGGAGGGGCGCTGTCGGCAGTAGATCGAAAGTCTCTTTTAGAATGAAAATATACGCGGTACACTCAACGCGGCGACATTGAGTTTCTGGGCGCAGTGAGTTGTCAACTCCACCACTCGCGCATCCATTTCACTCGCAACTTGGTCTGCAAAAGCCCACGCGGCGGCGATTGGGATGAGTGCTTGGCGTTGGCTGGTGCGTCTTTGCGGCCGCGCTAGCCCGCGCGTGCTCGCGCGCGCAGGGGCGCGCTAGTTTGGCGCGACCGATGCGGCCGCGCTGGCGCTGACCGCCGGGCGCTTCCCAGCGGGCACTTCAGTGCGAGTCGGCGACTTGGGCGCGCGCGGGATCGCGGCAACGTCGACAGCGGTAGACGCGAAGATGATCGTAGCGATGCTGGTGACGATACTGACAACGACGACGGCTAGGCAAGCGGCGGCGCCGATGCTGATCACGTCGGCGACGAAGACGGCGCCCTCGCGTCGGCGATGAAGGGCTTGGAAGGAGTTCGACAAGCGCGCGCGGCCGACGCGCGCGAGTTGCCCGAATGGAATGGTTTGACGCGGATCGCGCCCCCCATCCCCAGCACGCAGGGGCCGTCGAGCAATCTCGACCTGCGGCGCGAGAGGCCCTTTTGGCAAAATTTGATGGACATGTTGAGCAACATATGGTGTTCTCTAGAACGCCAAAAGCGCGTGCGCGGCGCCGATTGAAAACTGGCGTTGCGCAACCATGTCGTTATCTGTGATCGGGGGGCTCGGTTTTCACATCCTGGCGAAATCTAAAGTTTCTGAAGGATTCGGCGCGCGCGCGTGACAACGCGCGCGCGCGAGTCGCCCAACTTTTTCACGAAGAATTCTCGGCGGCAGCACGCGCGCAGGGGCACTCGAACAATTTCGGCACGCACGCGCGGGAGGCCCTCCTGGAAGCCCGCGACGAACACGCTGTATATGTTGTTCAGTTGCTTTGGGGGGAAATATCATACGCATATAACAAAAATGTTTTTTTAATCTGAATTCGCAAGATCGCGGGGCAAAGCTTTTTGTTGAACATTCGTTTTGCGACGCCACATTTAAGCGCGCGCTCGGGGCACTTGATCTTGAAATCCTC